GGCGCCTCAAAAACGACCTCAATGCACCCCGATGGTTTGTTGACCGCCCCAAGGTGACTTCTGTTCTCTGCCTTACCGGCCGTTTTTGAGGCGCCTCAAAAACGACCTCAATGCACCCGGATGGTCTGTTGACCGCCCCAAGGTGACTTCTGTTCTCTGCCTTACCGGCCGTTTTTGAGGCGCCTCAAAAACGACCTCAATGCACCCGGCTGGTCTGTTGACCGCCCCAAGGTGACTTCTGTTCTCTGCCTTACCGGCCGTTTTTGAGGCGCCTCAAAAACGACCTCAATGCACTCCGATGGTCTGTTGACCGCCCCAAGGTGACTTCTGTTCTCTGCCTTACCGGCTGTTTTTGAGGCGCCTCAAAAACGACCTCAATGCACCCGGATGGTCTGTTGACCGCCCCAAGGTGACTTCTGTTCTCTGCCTTACCGGCCGTTTTTGAGGCGCCTCAAAAACGACCTCAATGCACCCCCGGATGGTCTGTTGACCGCCCCAAGGTGACTTCTGTTCTCTGCCTTACCGGCTGTTTTTGAGTTGCCTCAAAACCGACCTCAATGCACCCGGATGGTCTGTTGACCGCCCCAAGGTGACTTCTGTTCTCTGCCTTACCGGCCATACCAATTTTCAATCCCCGCTCCTATCTCAAATCCCATCCCCACTTCAATTCCCATCCCCTCTTCGATTCCCATACCCTCCCCTCCGCATTTTGTGCCCATTTATCCGCAACTTTTTCCTCTGTTTCATCGAATTGCATGCCCGTCTGTAAGTCACGAACTGGGATTCAATCAACCAATCCCTGCCCTGCCCCTTCCTTCCTTTCCTTTTTGCCAGGAATCGGCAGGAGGCCGCTTGGCAAGTCATCCGATTCCCTCCGAATCTACGCACCTAAGGCTCATAAGATCAAGAGTCATGACTGATCAAGAATATTCTCATACATTCATCCTCACACCCACCCGATCCTCTCGTCTCTGGTTGCATACAGATGGTGGTTGTCGATGCTGTTTCTTGCAATGCTGGCAACGACGTGGATTTCCACATTCACGGGTGGGTAGGCTTGGGAACGATTTCATATAAATCTCGAGAAGTGTTACGCTCTCGATTAGGTTCAAGTCAAGGCCGCTGTTTCACCGTATGGCGAGTATCTTTTTTGAGTCCAATATAAGTTTTTTTTTTCGTGACTCCTGCAATACTGGCATGGCAAGGATGCCGATTTTCATATTCAGGGGTGTGTGGGTTTGTGGACACACTTATGCATTTCGTGTGAATTCCTGCCCCTCGTTACGTATTCACATTCAAAGGTGTTTTGAGACGTCTCAAAACACGTTTACACCTTCACAGGTAGGTTTGTCGCTGCTGTTTCACCCATGGAGGCTCTCGTTCACTGGAGCAGTCTGTTCTTTTCACCTGATTACACTGAAAATAGTCCAACTTCTGACCAAGTGCGCTTTCACACACTATTTCACATGGCATGTTTAATTCACCTGACACAATAAACATTCTCTCTTTCTCCCGGAACAGGTTTGGCCTCTCAGGCCGCATACTCAGTCACTCGCCAGCAGCAACAGGAGCACTGAAGCCGCCTGAAGGACCTCTGACAGGGCCGGCTGGCATCCTTGTAACCCTACAATCTGTTCATGTAACCAGTGGAAGCAGCAGTAGCGGCAATGATGGTGCGGAGAGGGAGGTGTCACAACAGGCACAGCAGCAGCAAGAGCAGCAGCAGCAGCAGCAGCAGGTGGCAGCAACAGCTGTCACTGATGCCAGTGGTGTTTTCAGCTTCACTGGCCTTCCCATGGGTGAGTGCTTGCTCGGAGAGGGGGGGGGGGGGGGGGGGGGAGGGTGGGTGGGACGTAGTGCAGGAAAGTGCGGGTGTTTTAGCAACAGCATCATCAGCAGCCGTGGCAGCAGCAGGGGCAATATCAGCAAGAGCAGCAAGTGGCAGCAACGGCTGTCACAGACTCCAGTGGTTCTTTCAGCTTCACCGGTCTTTCTGTGGGTGAGTGCTTGGTGGGGGGTTTGAGTTGGGACGTCCTTAGTACAGAGACGGTCTGGCTTTGTCTGTTGAATGCCTTTTGAGGCGACTTTTGAGGCGACTTTTGAGGCGACTTTTGAGGCGACTTTTGAGGCGCCTCAAAAGTCACAGTGCTTGGTGGGGGGTTTGAGTTGGGACGTCCTTATTGCAGAGACGGCCTGGCTTTGTCTGTTGAATGCATTGAGAACAGTCGTATTTTTACCACCCATCCACCCACCCACCCATCCAACCACCCACCCGCCCACCTACTCACCCACCCATTCACCCGCCAATCCACCCACCCACCCACCCACCCCACCCACTGCCAACTGCTGGAGCATACGAGCTGTCCGCTACACACCCTGTATGGACCATCCCTACCCTCGCTGCAAGCACACTCGATTTAGCAACTCCCTAATCAAGCACATGTATTCTGACAAACAACCCATCCATTCATCCGCGACCCACCCATCCACCCACCCGCCCTCTGCCGGCAACAGGAGCATATGAGTTGTCTGCCTCGCATCCTCTGTGGACCATCCAGCCCCTCGCTACAAGCACACTCGATTCAACAACGCCCAACTCTTCTCAGCCAACCACACAGAGCCCAAGCGCCAGAGTGCCGGTGGAGGTGGCATGGGGCTCCAAGGACGGGGGGCCACTCTTCTATGTGGCCAGCTACGCTCCCACTGCTGCTGCTCAGGACCAGGTATGTCCTTGCTGCCCAGGTGTACTTTGAGTCGACTCAAAATACACCTGGACAAGCTGACACACGTTTTGAGTCGACTCAAAATACACCTGCGCAGGACCAGGCATGTCCTTGCTGCCTCTCATTGGTGTCTGAATCTGCTCAGCCAACCACACAGAGCCCTAGCGCTAGAGTGCCGGTGGAGGTGGCATGGGGCTCCAAAGACGGGGGGCCACTCTTCTATGTGGCCAGCTACGCTCCCCCTGCCTCTAAGGTGTGCGCATGTTGTCAGTAGGTACCACGCCCACCAAGCGCTAGAGTGCCGGTGGAGGTGGCATGGGGCTTCAAGGATGGGGGACTTTTGAGTCGACTCAAAAGTCACATGGGGCTTCAAGGATGGGGGACCTCTCTTCTATGTGGCCTGCAACACCTACACTCTCACTGCTGCTCAGGACGAGGTGCGCCTGTGCTGCTGCTCAGGACGAGGTGCGAGGTGCGCCTGTGCTGCTGCTCAGGACGAGGTGCGAGGTGCGCCTGTGCTGCTGCTCAGGACGAGGTGTGCCTGTGCTGCTCAGGTGCACACATGCATTCTCAGGTGCGCCTGTGCCTGTGCATTCTTGTGCTAGAGTGCGTGTGGAGGGAGGTGGGGTGGGGCTCCAAGGAATTGGGGCAGCAGGGGTACTGTTTCACGAGGTCGGCTACTCTCTTGCTGTTGCTCAGGACCAGGTGCGCCTGCACTGCTGCTCACGCTCGCACATGCATTCTCCGTCTCTCTCCTAATCAGCCAGCCACTCGCAGTCCACCTCCCCGGTGCCTGTGGAGGTGGGGTGGGAAGCAGGAAAACAAATGCATTTCGATCGATCCAGCCCACCTGATTCGGAGCAGCGGGATTTGAACCCACGACCTTGTGCCTGCCGTCTCTCTTCCCCCTCTTCAACCTTCTTCCACCTTCTTTCCCCCACCATTTCTCGGCTATGGTTGCAGGCAGTGGCAGAGTTGCGGACGGGGAGGGCTGTGGGGTGGAGTAAGCAACAGTGATGCTGCTGCTGCTGCTGCTGCTGTGGCAGGGCTTTCCCCTTCGCCACCACCGTAATCCTCCTCTTTCAATCCCTCCACTTCCTTTCTCTCCCATCATCCTCTTCCCGTCTTCCCACACAGCAGGATACTGCTGGTCTGCTGACAGGCAGTGGCAGGGTGGAGGACGGGGAGGGGAGGGCCGTGGTGTGGATGGAGCGACAGTGACGCTGCTGCTGCTGCTGCTGCTGCTGCTGCTGCTGCTGCTGCTGCTGCTGCTGCTGCTGCTGCTGCTGCTGCTGCTGTGATGGTGGCAGTGCGGGCCGTGGGGGCCTAATTCCTCCTCGCCACCTTCCCTCCTCAGCCTCACGTTTGACTCTTCCCCCCTCTTCCCCCTTTGTCTCCCACCTTTGCCAGCCCGGCACGGATCTGGTGACAGGCAGTGGCAGGGTGGAGGATGGGGAGGGCCGTGGGATGGAGGGAGCGACAGTGATGCTGCTGCTGCTGTGCCGTGGTGTTATCAGTGCGGGCTGTAGGGTTTTAAGCCCTGCTCCCCCCTTTCCACCCCACCCTTTTCCAGCAGGATACTGCTTTGCTGACAGGCAGAGGCAGGGTGGAGGATGGGGAGGGCCGTGGGGTGGAGGGGGCGACAGTGACGGTGGATGGGCTTTCAGTGGCTGTCACTGACGCTCAGGTGAGTGTGAAAGGTGGATGGGGGGTGTTTTGGGTGCGGGAGTGAGTGGAGGCCTCGTTGGGCTGTGGGATGGAGGGAGCGACAGCGATGCTGGATGGGATTCCAGTGGCTGTGACTGACGCTCAGGTGAGTTTGATTTGGTGCTACCCTCCTGGAGGTGCTGTAGCCTATTGGTGCTTTAGTGAGTGGCAGAGAAGGGGAGAGTAGGCCGTGGGGTGGAGGGAGGGAGCGACGTTGATGGTGGATGGGCTTTCAGTGGCTGTCACTGATGCTATGGAGAGTTGCTAGTTCTGTAGCCTATAGGTACTCGTCGGGTGGGTGGAGGACGGGGAGGACCCTGGGGTGGAGGGAGGGAGCGACAGTGACGCTGGATGGGCTCTCAGTGGCTGTGGCTACGCTCTGGTGCAGTGAGCTTTAAGTTGCGCGGAATGGGCGTGGCATATGCGAGAATGGTCTTTGTGCAAGGCTATAGTGAGTGTGAGGGTCACAAGGTTCTACTGTGTAACGGTTGCTACAGTACAGGGCTGTTGCTGGGTAACCCTATGGTGACTGCACGCACCTGATGCTGTGTACCATCTGATTCCTTTTCCATGCACTCCCGACTTTTCCTCGCCCGCTCTCCTCTTTGCCTCCCTCTCCTCTTTGCCTCCCTCTCCTCTTTGCCTCCCTCTCCTCTTTGCCTCCCTCTCCTCTTTGCCTCCCTCTCCTCTTTGCCTCCCTCTCCTCTTTGCCTCCCTCTCCTCTTTGCCTCCCTCTCCTCTTTGCCTCCCTCTCCTCTTTGCCTCCCTCTCCTCTTTGCCTCCCTCTCCTCTTTGCCTCCCTCTCGTCTTTGCCTCCCTCTCCTCCCCGCCTCCCTCTCCTCCCCGCCTCCCTCTCCTCTTTCCCCCCCTTTCCTCTCCGCAACCCTTTTCCCTTCTCTGCAGGGCGACTATACCTTCACATTCCCCACCTCCCTCCTCTCTTCCACACCCCTCCACCATCTCTCCTCTTCAGCACCAGTCACTCCTCCCCCTCCTCTCTCTCCTACCACTCCACCCCTTCCTCCTCCCACCACTCACACCATAACAGCAGTCAGACCCCTTTACGTGTTCCCAGCCCTTTCAAACATTGCCCTCGCTCCTGCTCCTGCCACCGCCACTGCTGCTACCATCACTGCTGCTACCACCACTGCTGCTGCCGACACCACAACAACCACGACCGGTGCAAGCGAAACAGAAGCTGTTGTGCTAACTGCCGTCGCCCTGCCGCCCATCCGTGCCACCCGGTATGCGGTGTGCGGGCGGGTGGAGATGGAGGCGGGCGGCGAGTCGTCCTTTGTGCCGTGGCGGCGGGTGGAGCTAAGCCGAGCTGGTGATTTCGATGGCTCCCACATGGACGGCTCTCAGGATTCCAGCTGGGTGGCTTTCAGCAGCACAATTTCAGGAGGAATCAGCAAGGGCAGCAGCAGGAGCAGTGGCGGCAGCAGCAGCAGCAGCAGCAGCAACGGTGACGGCAGCAAGGGGTTGCAGAGGCAGGAAGCGAGCAGGAGTGTGGCTCCGGTGATAGCAGAGGCGGACAGAGATGGACGGTTCTGCTTCATGGTGGGTGGGTGGGTGGGTGGATGGCAGTGAGTGGCAGTGAGTGGCAGTGAGTGGCAGTGAGTGGTGGTGAGCGGCAGTGAGTGGTGGTGAGCGGCAGTGAGTGGTGGTGAGCGGCAGTGAGTGGTGGTGAGCGGCGATGAGTGGCGGCAGCAAGGGGTTGAGCAGGCAAGAGGAGAGCAGGAGATTGCAGAGGCGGACAACGATGGGCGGTTCTGCTTCATGGTGGGTGGGGGTGGTGTGGGGGTGGTGTGGGGGTGGTGTGGGGGTGGTGTGGGGGTGGTGTGGGGGTGGTGTGGGGGTGGTGTGGGGGTGGTGTGGGGGTGGTGTGGGGGTGGTGTGGGGGTGGTGTGGGGGTGTTGTGGGGGTGGTGTGGGGGTGTTGTGGGGGTGGTGTGGGGGTGGAGTGCAAGTGAAGTGATGTGTGCGTGGGGTGGTGTAGTGCGTGTGTGGAGAGGGTAGTGAGTGGAGAGAGCATGGAAGGAGTGAATGTCTGCAGAGGGGGACAAAGATGGCCAGTTCTGCTTCATCGTGGGTGGGATGGTGTGGACGTGGGGTGGTGTAGTGTGTGCGTGGAGAGGTGAGTGAGTGGAGAGGTGAGTGAGTGGGGAGGTGAGTGAGTGGGGAGGTGAGTGAGTGGGGAGGTGAGTGAGTGGGGAGGTGAGTGAGTGGAGAGAGCATGGAGTGAGTGATTGCAGGGTGGTCAGAGATGGCCGGGTCTGCTTCATGGTGGGTGGGGTGGTTTGGAGAGGTGAGAGGAAGCGAGTGACTGTATAGGCGATACCGGAGAATGGAGTGCACATCAGTAGTGGGCATGTCCTCATGCCTTATTTGAAGTAGGACATCGGGAATTCTCAAAAGCAGCTCTATTATTACTGCCTGATGATTTCTTTTTTGCGAGAGCTGCTTGTTTTATTCCTTTACTTTTGATCGAGAATTGTTTCGTGGCAACTAAGATACTCTTCTGATCCAGCATCTCAGTTGCATCTAAAGCTGGATCATGAGGGTATCTTATTTGCTTCTATCTTCCTCCTCCCTTCCTCCCCTTCCCACCTCCTCCCTCCTCCCTCCTTCCCCCTCTCTCTCCCACACTCCCTCCACATCCTATTCTCCTGTTTCCCCCCCAACCTCACTCTCTCTTGCTGCCACAAGGTGCCACGTGGCAGCTACCAATTGGTGCCCGAGATCAGCCCGGATGAGGTGGCAGCAGGGTTGGTTTTCTCCCCCTCTATGGAGGAATCCGTTACTGTCACATCCGCCCCCATCACTGACATAATCTTCAAACAGGTATGCAAAATGACGACACCCCGTACTTGATTCGTATTGTATCAATTTGTATTGTATTGTATCGTATTGTATCTTACTGTATCGCATCATGTCGTTTTGCATCCACAAGTCTTGCTGCTGCCCACACGTGTCTGCTGTGCCTACCTGTCCCCTTGCCTGTCCGCTTGTCACTATCGCTCTCTGCTCCCTGCACAGCCCACGAGGTGACTTTTGAGTCGACTCAAAAGTCACCTCTGCTGCCCACGTGCCTGCTTTGTCAGCCTGTCCCCTTGCCTGTCCGCTTGGCATTGTTGCTCTATGCTGCCTACACAGCCCACGTCTTCTCTGCTTGAAACTATTCATTTTTAGTCACTCCTGTTACAGTCAAAGCACTTGCAGACACTGCCTTTAGTCACACCTGTTGCACTCTCTCATTCCCCCCTGTCCCCCCTCACCCTCCCCCCTTTACAGTCACACCTGTTCATATTTGGCAAGGTGCAGTGTCTGCAGGAGTGTGACTCCACCGTTTCAGTCTCACTCTGGGCTCTCACAGGCAATGGGGCAGATGAAAGGGCAGATGAAAGGGCAGGTGGAGAGACAGAGCAGCAGCAGGGCACGTTTTTACAACGGGTGGTGGTGGGAGGAGGGGAAGGGGAGGCAGGAGGAAAGGCTAAAGGGGAAGGGAAGGGAAATGTGAGAGGGGAGGGGAAGGGGAGGAAAGCAGAGCTTGTGGAGAGGAGAGGCATTGTCGGATCGTTCTTCTTTGATCGGTTGCTGCCTGGATCGTACCGAATTGAGGTGAGTGAGGCATGTGATTGGCTGGAGAGGTGAGTGGGGCATGTGATTGGTTGGAGAGGTGAGTTTCACAGGGAAGACCAGAGGGGAAGTGGACGGGAGGTAGTGGCGGGGCAATGAAGAGAGGGGCGCGGCATTGGTGGCGGATCGTTCTTCTTTGATTGGTTGCTGGAGGGAACTCTAATGAGCTCTCTTTTTGCCATTCGTTCGTTTGCTTCCTCCTCTCATCACGTGATAAAAGAGATGTTTTGAGACGTCTCAAAACATTCGTTCGTTTGCTTCCTCCACTCATCACGTGATAAAAGAGATGTTTTGAGACGTCTCAAAACATTCGTTCGGTTGCCTCCTCCTCTCATCTTTCCGTTTCTCTCTTCCCCTCTATCTTCCACTATCCCTCCCCATGCACGCCCATGCAGCTCCCAGCAATAGTGCCACTGCCTTGCAGCATGGCGAGTGGTGCTGGGAGGAGGGAGCACGTCAACAAAATGCTCTCATCCCCCACTTCGTCTCCCTTCCCACCCCCCTCCTCCCTTCACACACAACAGGCCCGCAAGGCTCCCGCCAATGCCACTGGATTGCAGAGCGACGAGTGGTGCTGGGAGGAGGAGGGTCGTGCCGACGTGGCGGTGTTTGATTCGCCCGTGACAAACGTACAGCTGGCGCAGCGCGGGTGGCGCATGGTGGTGCGGGCGGAAATGGAGGACAAATTCACACTCACCCACAGGGACTACGATCCCACAGACTTCAGTGTCTCGGTAAGTGTATAAAATGATGGGATTATGCTGCTAGCATGCAGGTTAGTGGAAGGGGAACTGGTGTTGCACACAGCATGGGTTGCGCATGGTGGTCCAAGCGGCAATGGAGGGCAAGTTCCCACTTCCCCACAGGGACTACGACCCCACTGACTTCTCTGTGTCAGAGAGAGCATGATACGATGGTCCGTAGAGGTAGGTGGCTGGAAGTGGTTCTGCAGGGAGGGAGAGAGAGTGGGTGGCGCATGGTGGTGCGGTGTGGGCTGCAATGGAGGGCAAGTTCACACTCACCCACGGGGACTACCACCCCACTGACTTGAGTGTGTCGGTGAGAACAGGCGCTGATGGTAAGAGCAGGTCGTGAAGTGTATTGAGGTGGTGGGGTAGCGCACGGTGGTGCGGGCAGCAGTGGAGGACCGATTCACGTTGACCCATGGGGACTATGACCCCACTAACTTGTCTGTCTCAGTGAGTGTGGCCGTTGGTATGGTAATACTGTGGTATAGTGTGGCGTAGTGTGTTATAGTGTGGTGTAGTGTGGTATACTGTGGCGCAGTGTGATATAGTGTGGTTTCTAAACCTGCTTTCACACGCAGAGGAGGGGCAGCAATGGAGGACCGATTCACGTTGACCCACGGGGACTATGACCCCACTGACTTCTCTGTCTCAGTGACTGCAGCCTTTGGTTCATACTGTGGTATAGAGTGGTGTGGTGTGGCGTAGTGTGGCGTAGTGTGGCATAGTATGGCGCAGCTTGGTGCCTACTCCTACTCTTGCACGTAGAAAGCGGGCAGCAATGGAGGACAGATTCACAAAGATTATGATCCCACTGATTTTTCTGTCTCGCCTCTCTCCACCTCTCTCCACCTCTCTGCACCTTTCCCCACCTCCCTCCACCCTTTTCCAGCCTGGCATCAGGAGTTTTGTGTAGAGTCCCCAAGGGAGTACGCCCTCACCTCGCCATGTCTCATGCTCTTCTTTACTTGCCATTATCTCCCCTTCAATTCTCTCCAATCCTCTCCACCCCTCTCCACCCTTCTCCACCGCTTTACATGCAGCCCGGAGTGCAGGAGTTCTGTGTGGAGTCCCCAGGGGAATACACCCTCGCCATGTCCCACGCCTGCGCCTACTATGGGGCACTCTCTTTTTCCTTCCACACCCGCCAGCCCAAGGTGAGCCCTTCCCTGCTCAGGTGATATCTGTTTTGTTTGCATAGGCAATCCCCCCTCGCCATGTCCCACGCCTGCGCCTACTATGGGGCACTCTCTTTTTCCTTCCACACCCGCCAATTCAAGGTATTCCCTTCAGATATAGCTTGGATGTTATTCTGTCTGCATAGGCAATCCCCCACCCTTGCCATGTCACACGCGTTTGCCTACTACGGCGCTCTCTCTGTTCTGGTGCTCTATCGCTGTTCTCTCTCCCCTCTGTCCCCTGCAGCCCATCCTCCTGACACCCACGGCCTACCGCGTGTCCGGCCCCGTTTTCCTCAACACATTCCTGTCTGCTCTTTCTGCTGTTGTTCTCTCTCTCACTCTTTCTCTACTCTCTCCCCTTTCTTCCCTGCAGCCCATCCTCCTGACACCCACGGCCTACCGCGTGTCCGGCCCCGTTTTCCTCAACACCTCCCTCCTCCCTCCATCGCTCTCCCACCTCTCTCTCGAAGCAACCATCGTTGCGCGCATCAGTGGGAATGGTGGCGGTAGTGACAGCTACGGCTCTCTCTCAGTGCGCCGCCCGCCATCCAAGGAGGACCCTGTGGCAATCTATGACCAGGTGAGGCATGGTGACGTGTGGTGAGGGGTGGTGAAGTGTGGTGAGGGGTGGTGAGGTGTTGTGAGGGGTGGTGAGGTGTGGTGAGGGGTGGTGAGGCAAGCATCGTTGCGCGCATCTGTGGGAATGAAGACAGTAGGAGTGACAGCTACGGCTCTCTCTCAGTGCGCCGCCCGCCATCCAAGGAGGACCCTGTAGCTGTCTATCGCCAGGTGAGCATTGAGCAAAGGTGAGGAAGGGTGAGGCGTGGTGGAGTGAGGTGAGGTGAGGCACGGTGAGGCATGGTGAGGGATGGTGAGGCGTGGTGAGGCGTGGTGAGGCGTGGTGAGGCGTTGTGAGGCGGCATTGTGAGCTCACTCACATGAAACTCAAAACGGTAAACACTTGGCCATGTCACAGTTGGGGGGGGGAAGAGGGGGGATGAGAGGCGTGGTTCATGCATACGCGTTCTACCACCTCCTGGGCACCGTTTTGAACCGCCATCAACACCTCCATATGTGCTACAGTAACGCAGGAGACCACTGGGTAACATCCGCCTTCACTTCCCCTATTTCCTTCCCCCACCCACACCCAACCTCTGCAGTCATATTGGCTCGACACACACACCAGTCTAATCTCCTGCTCTCTCCCCACCCCTCCTGCTCTCTCCCCATCCCTCCTGCTCTCTCCCCATCCCTCCTGCTCTCTCCCCATCCCTCCTGCTCTCTCCCCATCCCTCCTGCTCTCTCCCCATCCCTCCTGCTCTCTCCCCATCCCTCCTGCTCTCTCCCCATCCCTCCTGCTCTCTCCCCATCCCTCCTGCTCTCTCCCCATCCCTCCTGCTCTCTCCCCATCCCTCCTGCTCTCTCCCCATCCCTCCTGCTCTCTCCCCATCCCTCCTGCTCTCTCCCCATCCCTCCTGCTCTCTCCCCATCCCTCCTGCTCTCTCCCCATCCCTCCTGCTCTCTCCCCATCCCTCCTGCTCTCTCCCCATCCCTCCTGCTCTCTCCCCATCCCTCCTGCTCTCTCCCCATCCCTCCTGCTCTCTCCCCATCCCTCCTGCTCTCTCCCCATCCCTCCTGCTCTCTCCCCATCCCTCCTGCTCTCTCCCCATCCCTCCTGCTCTCTCCCCATCCCTCCTGCTCTCTCCCCATCCCTCCTGCTCTCTCCCCATCCCTCCTGCTCTCTCCCCATCCCTCCTGCTCTCTCCCCATCCCTCCTGCTCTCTCCCCATCCCTCCTGCTCTCTCCCCATCCCTCCTGCTCTCTCCCCATCCCTCCTGCTCTCTCCCCATCCCTCCTGCTCTCTCCCCATCCCTCCTGCTCTCTCCCCATCCCTCCTGCTCTCTCCCCATCCCTCCTGCTCTCTCCCCATCCCTCCTGCTCTCTCCCCATCCCTCCTGCTCTCTCCCCACCCCTCCTGCTCTCTCCCCACCCATCCATGCATACCCCTCCTATCTCCTTTCCTTCCCTGTGCCGTGCAGTCCTACTGGCTTGAACCACACACCGATGTCTCGCTCTCCCTTCACCACTCCGGCTTCTCGGCCGCACCTCCCACATGCTCCTCCACTGCGGATAGTGCTGCTGCTCGTAGTCGTGGTGCTGGTGGTTTTGGTGATACGAGGGTTGAAGCAGGAGAGGTGGATTTAGGGGAGGTGGATTTAGGAGAGGTGGATTTAGGCGAGGTGTGGGATCAGCAAGTTCAGGAGGAACAAGAGGAGAATCTGAAAGCTGGGACTTTGTCTATGGGGTGAGTGAGCTTGTAAATGAGTGGATAGGCGAGTGTGAGTGAGTGAGTGAGTGGATAGGGCGAGTGTGAGTAAGTGAGTGAGTGGATAGGGCGAGTGTGAGTAAGTGAGTGAGTGGATAGGCGAGTGTGAGTGAGTGAGTGAGTGGATAGGCGAGTGTGAGTGAGTGAGTGAGTGGATAGGGCGAGTGTGAGTGAGTGAGTGAGTGGATAGGGCGAGTGTGAGTGATTGAGTGAGTGGATAGGGCGAGTGTGAGTAAGCGAGTGGATAGGGTGAAGGATACGGGACTCATGGCTGAGTTTTGAGGTGCGTCGAAAGGTCACGAGTCAGCAACTCATTGCGACATTTTTTTAGTTTTGAGACGTCTCAAAACAAGGGGCTCACGGGTAAGTTACGAGGTGCCTCAAAAGGTCATGATTGAGCAACTAGTTGCGGCATCCATCTCGGGGCATGTCTCTTTGCTCATTATTCTAGAGAATTCTCGAGAGCATCACCTCTTGCATCCATATTTATGAGGCGCCTCAAAAGGCATCACCTCTTGCATCCATATTTATCACCTTCATCCCTCCCCTCATCCCCCATCCCTCATCCCTCCTCCCTCAGGCTGAAGGAACAGCCCTCCCCAGATGGCACCTTCCCCTTCCCACCAACCCCGCGGCTCCTCTTCTACCCTCCAGCCATTCCTGTGAGTCCTCCCGTCCAGTGCCTCACGTAAGCTCTACCATTCCTGTGAGTGCAGTAAACGTTTCTCCCATTCTTTCAAATCTCTGCATACGTTTGTCTGCGTCTCTGTACGTCTGCATAAGTTTCTGTACGTTTGTTTATGTCTCTGTCCGTTTGTTCACATATCTGTACGTTTATTACGTCTCTGTACGTTCATTTACGTGTCTGTACGATTATTTCCATTGCCACCAGTCCAGTGCCTCACGTAAGCTCTCCCATTCCTGTGAGTGCAGTAAACGTTTCTCCCATTCCTGTGAGTGCAGTAAACGTTTCTCCCATTCCTGTGAGTGCAGTAAACGTTTCTCCCATTCCTGTGAGTGCAGTAAACGTTTCTCCCATTCTTTCAAATCTCTGCATACGTTTGTCTGCGTCTCTGTACGTCTGCATAAGTTTCTGTACGTTTGTTTATGTCTCTGTCCGTTTGTTCACATATCTGTACGTTTATTACGTCTCTGTACGTTCATTTACGTGTCTGTACGATTATTTCCACTGCCACCAGGTGAGAGGCGAGCCCTTAGGTGTCCTCCGCCCCTCCACCTGTTTATGCCAGCCCAGGCGTCTTCCTCACAGCCCAACTCGATCCCCATTCCACCCCTTGAAATCCCTCCCCACCCCTTGAAAATCCCCTTACTCCCTCCCCCTTTCTCTCCAGGTGAGAGTCGACCCCCTCAGGTGTCCTCCGCCCCTCCCAGCAGTCCATGCCCACTCAGGCGTCGTCCTCACAGCCCAGCTCAATCCCTCTTGCTGCTTTCCCTTCCCCTCTTCGCATTCCCCCACCCCTCGTTAATCCCCTTCCTCCCTCTTTTTATCCAGGTGAGAGTCGACCCCTTCAGGTGCCCTCCGCCCATCCCACCAGTCCATGCCCGCCCAGGCATCTTCCTCACAGCCAGAATCACTCCCGCGCTGCCAGGTGTCAACGTCTCAGTGGTCGCTGACTCGGCAAGTGATGCAGGGGGGTGGCAGTTGGGGGAGGTGGTGGGATGGCGGTTGACAGAGGGGTGGAGGAGAGGAGGGGAGGAGAGGAGGGAAGAGGAGGAGGTGAAAAGAGAAAGAGAGGAGCAGAGGAGGGAGATGGGGGAGAATGATGTGGAGGAGATGAAGGAAAATACAGAGGAGGTTACCCTGGGTCCGTTGTACGACGATGCCAGTTACCACGTGGAGCTGAATAAGGTAGAGTGCGAAGTGTGACAGTAGTAAAGCGCACTGAAATTGCAGGAAATTTTATTTCAATGCAGACAACAACAATTTGTGGGCACTTGGAAATGTTCACCCACACACACTCTTTTCTTTGTCGTTTTCTTTTTTTGTTTTCCCCCCATTTGTTGCAAATCTGGCTGTTTCGGCTGTGACTGATGCGATTGTGTTTCTTGCGAATGTGACTGAGTAGGAAGGATACATCTTTTCGTCCACTGGAGACAACTCGTACACAGCAGAGAGGGCCGAGGCCACACAGGTGAGTGCGCCTTTAGACCATATGTGACTCTGTGTCTCGGTGATAATAAAGGATGTTGCAGGTGTTCCACTCTCCAGCAAAATTGTCTGTACAACGTGTGTGACTGTACATGAGGGGATAATAACAAGCCTGTTTCGTGTCATCCACTCTTCAGCACCTATCAGTCGCCTCACCCTCTTCTCCTATCATTCGCCTCACCCTCTTCTCCTATCATTCGCCTCACCCTCTTCTCCTATCATTCGCCTCACCCTCTTCTCCTATCATTCGCCTCACCCTCTTCTCCTATCATTCGCCTCACCCTCTTCTCCTATCATTCGCCTCACCCTCTTCTCCTATCATTCGCCTCACCCTCTTCTCCTATCATTCGCCTCACCCTCTTCTCCTATCATTCGCCTCACCCTCTTCTCCTATCATTCGCCTCACCCTCTTCTCCTATCATTCAACATTGCATTGACTATTAGTCAGGTGATGCTGCTTTTTGAGCTGTCTCAAAAGTCAAGCTATGATTCTCCTGAACCCCTTCTCCTACACGACAAGCGTATGCTTTGACTCGGGCATTGCTGCATCCCTCTTCTTGTTTCTTTTCTTCAACTCTCAAACATTCCTCTCTTGTGGCAGCAAATGTGCAACCCTGGCAGCAAGAGTGGAGGGGAGCAGCAGGAGTGCAAGTGGCAGTCGTGAATTCTGTACCGTTGAATCTGAGTAGGATGATACAAAGCTTGAGTGAGGTGTTTCTTATGCACCTAAAAAACTGTAGCAGCAGCAGCGAGCAGCAGCTGCGAGTCGCAGCGGCAAGGAGGAGTGCAAGTGGCAGTCGTGAATGCTGCCCAGCCCAGTTGAGAATGTATAGAAGGATGATGTGAATGTGAGGCTCGAGGAGTGAGTTGTATATTGGCCACCTCAAAATCCGTAGCAGCAGTGGCGAACAGCAGAAGTGGCAGTCGTGACTGCAAACCATGCTGCGCCGCTGTTGCTGCAGCAAGTGCATACTGTCAAAATGAGAAATGGATGATGCATTGTTGTTGGTTGGGGTACATATAGCTAACCCTAAGTTTTGTACCCCCTAAGACAAACCTCACTATAGGCTACAACATTTGACACACCCCCATAGCCTAAGTGAGGGGTGTCTAGCAGAACCAAACGAGTACGGTCACAAGACCAGTCCAAGAAACGAAGCTCAGGGTGGATCACAACGTCACCACACAGTCTGAGCACAAACAACAGTGGCCACAAGGCCAGTCCAAGAAGTAACAGAGATATATAGAAAGCAAAGTAAACAGTACACTCAAGTCTAAGCAACACGAGAACCAGTGTCAACAAGGCCTAACTGCACACAGCACCTCTGGTGGTCACAAGGCGGAAGCGCCTTGGTGAAGATGTCTGCAGTGTTGGCCTCGGACTCCACAAACTCAAAGCGAGCCTGTCCACGCCTCTGCAACTCTCGCAGAAGAAAGTACCTGACGTGAATGTGCTTCACTCTGCTCTCCAGTCGTGGCTCTCGACAAAGGAGAATAGACGCCTTGTTGTCAGTGAACAAGGTCGGTGCAGAGCTCGGCCGCTCACCAAGGTCGGTGAGCAAGAAGGTCAACCAACGCAGCTCCTGTGCCGCCATGGCACCAGCGTAGATCTCAGCCTCAGCTGTAGAGGTCGAGACCGAAGAGGAGCGCGTGGACCGCCAGGAAACAGCTCCAGAACCCAGGCTGAAACAGTACCCCTGAGTAGACCTGTGAGTCTCAGCGTCGTCAGCGTAAGAGGAGTCACAGTGACCAGTAAGTACGACAGACTGCTGCCCTCCAAGAACTAGCCCCACGCCTGATGTCGTCGCTAGGTACTTCGCCACCCTCACAGCTGCTGTCCAGTGAACAGGACGGTGTCTCCCTGGCGCAACAAAGCGCGCAAGAACGCTGAGAGGGAAGGCGAGGTCCGGGCGAGTACAAGTCATCAGGTACATGAGGCAACCCACAAGCTCTGCGTAGGGACCACTAGGCTCGAACGGCTCGTCAGGAAAGGGTCCAGTGAGTCTGTGGTCAACAGCAAGAGGTGTGCGCTGTACTGTGGAGTGCTGAAGCCCGAACCGCTGAAGGACCTGCTGCACCATGTGTGACTGTGAAAGTGTAATGGTGCGAGCAGCTCTGTCCCTGGTGATCTGCAGGCCAAGGTAGTGGCGCAGCTCACCAAGATCAGTGCAGGTGTGTCTCTTCTGCAGTTCGGACTTCACGTGTGCCAAAGCAACCCTGTCAGGGGTGGCGAAAACAAGGTCGTCAACGTAGACCAGAACAAAGAAAGGTGTGGGGCCACGACGAACGAACAGCGACGGGTCAGCAGAAGACGGCTGGAACCCAAGGTCAGACAGGGTAGAACGCAGGGTGTCGTGCCACTCACGAGGAGCCTGACGAAGACCGTAAACCGGTCGCCTCAGCCTCCACTGGGTCCCAGGAGGGAAAGAGCCAGTGAAGGCAGAGGGACGACGCAACCAGACCTCCTCGTGAAGACTGCCCTGAAGGAAAGCAGTAGAGAAGTCGAGAGAGTGTAACTCGTAGTCTCTCTGTGCTGCTACGTGTAGTAACACCCGAAGAGTGGTCATCTTCGGGGTGGGCGCGAAGGTCTGAAAGAAGTCAACTCCCTCGCGCTGACTGAAACCTCTAGCCACGTAGCGCGCCTTGAAGACCGGAGGAGATCCCGGTGGCCGCTTCACCCTGTAGATCCACATGCCGTCGACTACGTTCGCCCCCGGAGGGGGAACCTCATCGACGTAGGTGCCTGTGGATCTGTAGGAGGCCATCTCTGCGTCCATGGCAGCTCTCCACTGAGAGGCCCAAGGCCCTGACACTGCCTCAGCGTAAGTGCGAGGAGTCGGAATGTCAAGGGCGTCGGGGTCACCCTCAGGGGCGAGGAGCATGGCACAGAGATGAGGGGAAGCGGCCGCCAGGAACTCTAGCTCAAACTGCCTGTCCTCTAGGGCGTCACAGCCAAGGGCAGACACACCCCCGACGGCCAGAGGACTGGAAGGAGGAGCAGCCACAAGAGCGGTGGCGAAGTCAAGGCGGCGGGTAGAGGCAAACTCAGTGACTGCGGCAGTAAGAGCGGACACAGAGGACACAGAGGCACGAGGGTGGGTAACAAGAGAGGCGAGAACACGAGAGAGAACAAGACGGTACGTGCGGTAGTAGTCAGTGACAGGAGAAGGAAGCGACACAGTGAGGGCCGACTCAGGAGGAGACGGAAGCACAGACGGAGACGGACGAGGTGGACGAGAACAAAGGAAGGCTGTACGAAGGTCAGTGAAGGGAACAGGAGACGAGGGACGAGCACGAGGGGAGCGACGAGAGGCCCAAGTCTGAGAAGGAGGAGGAGACAACGAAGACTGAGAACGAGGGAAAACAGCAAGAGAGGGGTCAGGAGGAGGAAGCGGAGGACCAGAGACAGGAGGAGAGGGGGAGGAGGAAGGAGAGGGAGAGGGGAGACCAAGGGTTTTAAGACCTGAGACAGGAGGAGGAGACGGCAGCAGCTGCTGCTGCGGCTGCTGCGGCTGCTGCTGCTCCAGCGGCTGCTGCCCCTGCTGCTGCTCCTGCTGCTGCTCCTGCTGCTGTCGCTCCTGCTCCTCGAGCCGCTGCAACTCTCTCTCCTCTCTCTCCAACTCCAGCTGCTCCTCACGAGCACGGCGAACACGAGCCTGGAACCTGGTCGGATAGGGGTGGGGGGAAGGAGTAGTGTCCGGGGCAGCGGCAGCCCCAGAGTCGACCTCCGAAGCACCAAGCACACCACCCCCAGAGGCAGCACTAACACCAGCTCCAGACCCAGGCTCTCCAGAAACCGAAGGGACACCCTCACCCCCAGACGCAGCACCCCCAGACTCCGCACCAGCACCCCCAGACTCCGCACGACCAGTACCAGCCCCCGGAAGACAAGAGTCCTCTGCAACCCGCGGCTCAGCTCCAACTCCAGCACCCCCAGAACCAGAGACCTGTACAGGGACAGTCGCAGGACCAACCTCCCGAGAGGGAGCACCTGCAGGAGGCGGCGAGGAAGACTGTGGGGAGGGAGGCTGTACAGGGGGGGCTACCGAAGGGGGAGGGCTAGCCTGAGACACACCAGACGGGGCTGGACCAGGGGGGGGAGGCTGTACCGGGGGAGCAGGCGGGGGAGCGGCGGTCAGGAAGAGAGGGGGGGGAGGGACCGGGAGACCTCGACTGGGGTACCTGACGTAGTAGGGGGTGGACTCCTCGAAACGGACGTCACGGGAGTCAAAGAACCGGTGAGAGGGAGGGTGGTAAAAGGTGAAGTCAGAGGAGTCCTCAGGGAAACCAAGGAAGACACAAGGAACGGCGCGAGGCGAGAGCTTGTCCGCGGAGGTGTCGCGGACAAGAGCCAAGCACCCCCAGACACGAAACCTCGACGCGACACCAGGGGACCCTGTCCAAAGACTGGTCGGTGAAGCCTCCGGCCGAGAGACGCGTGGCCAGAGGTTCAGCTGGTGCGCGGCGTACCTGACCGCGTATGGCCACAGGAAATGGGGGGCACGGGCGTGAGTCAAGGAGGTGCGGGCAATCTCCATGACCAGGCCTATGCGACGCTCAGCAACCCCATTCTGCTATGGGGACTCCGGAAGCGTCCAGGACTGACGAATGCCCTGTTCGCGACAGAATCCAGCGAGAATGCCGGAGCGAAACTCGCCCCCGCGGTCGGAGTGGAGACAGCTGACACGACGACCACGAGTGTCCTGGGTGGTAAGCAACCACCTGATCAGCGTAGAAGTCACCTCAGACTTCCTCGCCAGGGGGAACACTGTGGTGTAGCGGGAGTAGTCGTCAACGACCACCAAAAAGAAACGCTCACGCTCAGGGCCAGGGCGAGGAGAGGGGCCCCAGACGTCCAAGTGCAGCGTCTCAAAAGGCTCGGTGGCCGGACGAAGGGAGGAGGAGTGAGGGGTGGCGCGCAGCCTACCCTCGACGCAAGGACCGCACGGTGGCGCAAGGGACGGCGGCAGCGACGGCAAGACACGCGGGAGACCTAAGACAAGACGCTGACGAGACATAGCGCGAAGACGAGGAGGAGAAGGGTGCCCCAGCCGGTGGTGCCACAAAACGGTGGGGTGGGCAAGCGACCGACAGGAGCACGACGCAGCGACCGGACTAGACGGAGGAACCTGACAAGACACAGCTACCTGGGGGGACGGAGCAACCTGGTGAGACGCGAGGACTCGAACGGGGGGCAAAACAGGGGCCGGGGGCAGGAGGGGCGGCTGTGGCTGCGGCTGCGGCTGCTGCTGCTGCTGCTGCTGCTGCTGCTGCTGCTGCTGCTGCAGTCGCTGCTGAGCGCGCGGGCCAGTGTGAAGAGTGTAGAGACCGGAGCCCGGCTCAGCAGCAAAAGTGGCGAGGGGCTGGTAAGAGTCCCCGTCAACACACACCGCAGTCTCTCCAGAAGGCTCAAACCACACACCCACGTGCTGACTCACGAGGGGTCGCACGCCCACCAAGTTCTGGGAGAACGAGGGGACGTGAAACCCAGTGAGAGACCCAGAAGGAGCAGCCGGACACGGCAAGGTGGTAGTGTGACGCGCGGTGACTGGTCCCGAAGTGGGATCAGCCAGCGCCACAGAAACAGGCGCAGGAAGAGGCGTAAGTGTCGTGCTGTCACGAAAGAAGCAGTGAGAGGCTCCAGAGTCCAGCGTGAACGACAGC